ACACACACACACACACACACACACACACACACACACACACACACACATACACACATGAAGTTATATCATAAAAACACAATATAAACATTAGTTTTATCTCGACTGGTAAAATATTCATTGTTAATATATTTTATATTTTATATTAATATATTATTATATTTTTGGTAAAATATATATTGAATATTTTATTGATGAAAATACTTATATTATACCTTTGCATTTGGATATCTTTGTGTATGGTAGCCTTTAGAACGTATCAATGCAAAGTAACGCGAGCGATCGAATTCTAAGAGTAAAAACATCATTGTTTTATGTTGCAGACACATTCTTATGTGTCACAGTCAGATCAAAGCTAGGTCCCAGAGGGCCTAGCATGGGCCACTATGAATCCACCTGCTGCTGGCAAATCAAGCACTCGCGGTTCTGGATACCACCAAAAGGCTTTAGCTGAGATTCGCAATTCATTACTACCATTTGCGAATATCGGCGGGGCTGGCGAGGTAGGTTCCAGCGCCGCTAGCACTATCTCTACCATATCCACGACCAGTGGCATTAGCTCTGCCTCAGGTCTCAGCGGGCTCTCTGGCGCTTCTGGTTCCGCCGCTGACAAACCGGATCAGCGACAAGCGTTGGGACAACTATTAGCTATGGGATATTCGGAAGTAAGAGCGATAAGTTGAATTTTTGTTCTCGCAGATATCAATCAACTATCGAATCTGTTTATTTTACTTGCATTTGGTGCATTCGAAATTATTGTTCTTTCTTTAATATTCAAAACACATCTATCTCATTTCAGTCGTAGAAAAATGCTAGGAGTTGCAAGTAAAACAAATGGATATATTAATAACAAAATGATAAAAATTTAGATATAAACAATTTACCATCGTAATTGCTCTTGTAGGAAATAGGATTACGCGCTTTGAAATTTGCGGGATGGCGATTGGACGCGGCGATAGAATATTTGAAGCAGGCTCAAGGGGAATCTCTAAATGGGCTCGGTAAACTCAATACTAAACTTATCAGGAAGCCGAGTCTTGAGAGGGAATTGAACCTGCAACGCGGCAGTCCCGCATTGGACAGCGGGGCAGGCAGCTCGCGATCCGACAGTCCGCGCCTCACGGAACTTAGCACGCATCCACAATTGAGCCGTCAGTACTCGCCCAGTAACTTTGTGGATCGCGAACCACCGCCGCCGCCGCCACCACGGTGTAGCTCCACGCCACCTCCACCGCCGCCGCCTCACGCACCATACAGCCAGTCCAATGTGCCTACCAACATGCAGCAGATGCTCAAGCGAATGTCACCTGCGCCGGTCGTGCCGACGAGATCGACAGCGACGGCACCCGGCACGGCCGGCGCCACATCAACGTCAGTAAATCCACCACAACGCGGCACTAGTCCGGTGGCGAACGCCAATAACTCCGGCAGCCGTCAGCCGATGATCGTACAAAACGGTCCACAGGTGCAGCAGCAACTGACGCAGCAAATGCAAGCTCTCAGTATTTATCAAACGAGCAACAGCAACGCGAATACCCAGGTCGAACCTCCGCCGCCGTATCCTATAGTCCCATCCTCGTCCTCCGGTCAGTCGGTGCAGCCACCTTCTTACAGCGTTTCCATGCAAAATCGGCAGAGCCCCACACAATCACAGCAGGATTATCGTAAAAGTCCGTCGTCGGGCATCTACTCGGGTCCGACATCCGCTGGTACACCCAGTCCCATCACCGTATCTACTATATCATCTAGTAGCACGCAAACGTCAATGGCGCGGCCGACACCGTTGCAAGCTTGGGGTGCACGGCAGGCCAAGACGCAACCACCGATCATCATGCAATCGGTGAAAAGTACGCAAGTGCAGAAACCGGTATTACAGACTGCTATCGCTCCCACAGCGCCGCAGTCAATCTCCACCACCAGTAACACGCCACCTCCGCCGCCATCTTACGCATCATCTATTCAGCAGAAGCAACAGCAGCAACAACCGCCGCCCGCTTATCCACCAGTGAATAATGTAGCTGTGTCGCCTGCCGGTATACCAACGACGGAACCACCAAGTTACGCCACGACGATGCAGGCATTAGCGGCGCAACGCGGTATGCATCATCCATTGCCGCCACCACCTTATAGCACCCCTACCGAGGATACTGCTATTATTCCCTCTCCGATGGAAAGTGGCGGCGCGTCGCGAACCTCTCCTGTTGCTCATCATCCGCCACTTCAAAGAAAATATTCTCCGGCTGATAACTGCCATCACACAATGGACGCGCCACCATTGCCGCCAGTTGCCTCGACCTCTGTATCCGCGAGAAACAACAACAACAATTATTCGTCCTTACCCGAGGGAACCGCAGTCAGTACCAAGGGTGGTAACGGCATCAAAGGTGATGGCAGTGGTGGTACGCCCTCGTCCTACAAAATTAAACATCAGTCTCCCATACCCGAGCGCAAGACCATGAGTATAGAGAAAGAAGAGGAGCGTAGGGATTGTAAAGTGAGAAATTACTCTCCCCAGGCTTTTAAATTTTTCATGGAGCAGCACGTGGAGAATATACTCAAATCGCACAAGCAACGTCTCTATCGGCGCATGCAATTGGAGACGGAGATGGCGAAGATCGGCCTGAGCGCGGAGGCGCAGTGCATGATGAGGAAGATGCTGTCGCAGAAGGAATCCAATTATATTAGACTAAAACGGGCAAAAATGGACAAATCGATGTTCACAAAGATCAAACCGATCGGTGTCGGTGCGTTTGGCGAGGTCACGCTTGTGAGGAAGCTCGATACCAACCAGTTTTACGCGATGAAGACTTTGCGTAAGGCCGACGTACTGAATCGCAATCAAGTCGCTCACGTGAAGGCCGAGCGTGATATACTAGCGGAAGCCGATAACGAGTGGGTCGTCAAGCTCTATTACTCATTTCAGGATAAGGATAATCTATATTTTGTAATGGATTACATACCTGGCGGGGACTTGATGTCGCTATTGATTAAACTCGGCATCTTCAAGGAGCCACTAGCGCGATTTTATATCGCCGAACTCACATGTGCAGTTGAAAGTGTTCACAAAATGGGATTTATTCATAGAGACATTAAACCAGATAACATTCTAATCGATCGCGATGGTCATATCAAATTGACTGACTTCGGCCTCTGCACGGGATTTCGTTGGACTCACAATTCTAAATATTACCAACAAAACGGTAAGCAATTTTCAACCACTTCTACATTTGATTTTACTTTATAGACGTTATGTTTAAAGTAAAAACAAAGCGCATCTTAAGACATATAAAATAAAGTAATGAGTCTTTTTTATACGATTCAAGGCCATGGTAAACAAGACTCAATGGATCCAGCTGACGATTGGAATAATGAGTGTCAGTGCATACAGTTAAAGCCATTAGAACGTAGAAGACACCGGGAACATCAGAGATGTTTAGCGCATTCTCTGGTTGGGACACCGAACTATATCGCCCCGGAGGTTCTACAGCGTACAGGATACACACAGTTGTGTGATTGGTGGAGTGTAGGAGTAATCTTGTATGAAATGTTAGTTGGTTCTCCACCATTTCTTGCCAATACTCCTGCTGAAACTCAATATAAGGTACATAATGTATCATTCTTATAATATCTAGTATTATTAATAATGAAAATATCAAGTAATTGTTCGTTTTAAATTTTCAAAATCGTTTGAAGTCTTCAGTAAATTTAAATCATGAAACGTGAAATTGAAAATATATTAAAGGAATATTTCTTACATATTATAAATATTTCTTTTTTACTTTTCTAGGTTATTAATTGGGAGACAACACTTCATATACCGAAACAGGCAAATCTTTCCCCGGAAAGTATGGATTTAATCTTGAAACTCTGCGTTGGCGCTGATCGTCGTTTAGGTAAAAACGCGAATGAAGTTAAAAATCATCCGTTCTTCGCGAGTATCGACTTTGAGAAGGGATTACGGCGCCAAATGGCCCCGCATATACCTCGTATAGAGTATCCGACTGACACAAGCAATTTCGATCCCGTGGATCCGGATAAGCTGCGCAATTCTGAATCGTCAGATTCGAACAAATCGGACGAATTGCTGGATAACGGAAAACCCTTTCACGGCTTCTTTGAGTTTACGTTCAGGCGCTTTTTCGACGATGGTGGTGGTCCCGCATATCCCAGTCGAATCAGCTTGGATGACAATGACAATCAAGGTCCCGTCTATGTATGACATTAGGCTAGGTTTACAGACAATTCGCCGTCTGCCATTTCCCAATTTCAACATTTGTCTATCGATGCATTTTTGTTTGTCATTTTATTAAGATGTCTAAGATATGATTAGATTTTAACATAATGATTCTGCGTTCAATATCTCATCTATTTCCCGAATTTATAAATCCATAAGTCTGTTATAATGAAACGTTCTTCTTTTCTTACAATGGATTTCTCTACAATAGACTATAATGGATTTCACTAATGATCACAGTTCACTAATTAAGAATCCAAAGAGGTTTTAGGGTATTTCTGCAATTTTAAAATTTTTCTTGATAAAAGGCTTACTAAATGAAGTTTTGTTGTTTACAGTAAGCATGTTCACAAGAATCATAACATTTTCTTTTTCTTTTTTTTTTATATTACTAGACTAGAATTTTAGGGCTATTCTACAATACGTCACAAACGATGGCAACTGCTAGTTTGAAAAGTGTTATTTTCCGTTGCGCTTGTCAGTTGTGGTGGTCAAAAGAGAGTTGGCGAACTTTTAACTTTTTTAGCGTCGGCAACTGGCAATCGGCAATCAGAAATAACACTTTTCAACTAGCAGTTGCCATCGTTTGCGACGTATTGTGGAATGGCCCTTAAGGGAATCCTGAAGTGACACATAAATTATTGACATTTACAAGTTCGAATTTCCTTCTAATTGGCTTTATATTGAAAATTTAATTACATATTTAAAGTACAGAAATAATGGACGTGACGGTAAATTTAGACTAAGGCCGGTATTCATAGTCCATTCTTATTTTAAGATCGTCTTAAGTAATATCTTAGATGTTAATACGGTTCTGATTGGTTTGTGACATCTTAAGGTAGTTGTATCGCGACAGTATTAGTCAAAAATAATGGTCACACTGCAATACGATAATGTATGAAAACTCTACTTATCTGTGTAAAACTTTTGACTGAGCTTGTACTGTTTTTACTGTTTTCACTCGCGTCAGTAATGTCAGTATACCAGTATGCTATCGAGGTTATTTTGAATAAATAGAAGAAATAGAAGCGAAAATGTCTGTTGAACGTTACAAAGGAAGATTAATTAAAAAAAAGTATTAAAGAAAAGACTTAAAGCCTTAGCGGCAATGTCTGAACTACATATATATCTAATCTTCATATGCGCAGTGTTGCAAGATCTTTACAGGTTAGCTGTCGTATGCGTCCATCGCTATGAGAAATTGTGTACTTTGTGTAACAATAGCTTCAAAACTAAATAGATAAGGGTCTTGTACTTTTGTAAGAATATTTTTACAAGTCTCTTTTGTCATCTCTTTGTTTTTCATTAAACTCCTATGAGTAGTTTGATCGCTACAATTACAAACGTGATATAGGAAGCCGTTTTCGTCCTACGATACATGTAAAAAGTGCTAAGTTTGATTTCCATTATTTCAACTTTGGTATAGTCAAGCTTTTTCTACTTGCACGTGTGTGTAGAGCGTGTTTGCATTAATATGCTGTTCAAATTTTAAAAGATTCTTATGAAAATGGGTTTTGTGATACAACTACCTTAAGATTGTACATAAGACAATCTTAAATATAAGAACCGACTATGAATATCGACCTAAGAATTTAAAAGTTAAAAAATTATAATATGTCATTAGACTCATGAAAATGTCAACAAATTAATAAACGGCGATACGAGTCAGACGCGGCACATGGTGCGCAAGTAAAGAAATTAATAGTTACAGAAGTAACGAATTACAATGTATATAATATACATATACATATATTTCGAGGAGGGAAGGGTATTAATATTCCAACGATAGCTGTTTCAAGTCTGACAAATAATCGACGCGCAGTTTATTAAGTTGGAATATGTATATGTATATTATATACATTGTAATTCGTTACTTCTGTAACTATTAATTTCTTTATTTGCGCACCACGTACCGCGCCTGACTCGTATCGCCGTTTATTAATTTATTCAAAAATTATATTTGAGTTTCCATGAAGTGACAGCTCTAGGTACAAAAAGTGCAACACGAAGTAATATCAAATTTAATCTTAAATTTACCATTCTGCCCATTGCATCTGTATGTACTTTAAACATGTAAATGGGTTTTCAGTTTTGTAAAACCAATTTAAAGGAAATTGCAACCTAAAAAATGTCGATGATTGTCGTCATTCTAGGATCTCCAAAGAAACAAAGAATGACGGAATTGTATCAAAGATCCGACTATGAATAGCCTTAGATTCATTTGTTTTTGATACTTGTTTCTTACTTCATGCTTTTCGACTTGAAGTAGTTGTATCGGCAAATCAATTACTTATTGAAGTTCCTGACAGTCAAGTCTGTCGAAAGTAGATCTTGCCAAATATCTGCTACAAAGGACTGTGTCCAGTTTGGGCCTCGAGTGAACAGAGTGAATTATTTAGGGGAGCGGGGGGTAGCCCCGGGCGTTATTGAAATTCAAGTATACCGCGTATCTATGGCTGTTGTTTAAACATTCTGCACATGTCGAGATACGCAGAAGGGCATATTAGAATGTTTAAATAATGGTCATAGATACGCGGTATACTTGAATTTCAATAATGTCCGGGGCTACCCCCGTTCCCCTATTAATCGATAGGAGGGGTACTCACGAAGTACGAAACAGAAGATTTTAATTGCCTAATTGAAGTCTAGCGAGCGTACGGACCGTATCCCTCTTTAGATTTCTTTTTCTCATCGGAGCTCTTTAATTTTACAAAAATATTATTGCTGTTGCTGACACATGTATGTCTTTGTCAAGGTATTGGGCATATCCCAGATATCATATGACTGTCATCACATGCGCACAACATCCAACCATACATCTAAATCCGAATTTCTCTGACATGATGGCATAGAACTTACAGGGAACGTATAGAATTGTCCTTCATCGATTTTGATGGGCTTTGGATACGTTGTAGAATAGCGAAAAATAAAGACACGTGTTTTTTTTATCGGCTTTGAAGTATATTTAGGAGTTGAAACAACCCCTCGAAAGAAATTCCATATTTTTGATTACGAGCGAAATCTCCGAAACCATAAGCTATATGACTTTCTTAAGGTAGCCAAATGCCTCGTCATCTAATTAGTGACGCGCATGAATGGATTAACGAGATTCCCACTGTCCCTATCTATTATCTAGCGAAACCACTGCCAAGGGAACGGGCTTGGAAAAATTAGCGGGGAAAGAAGACCCTGTTGAGCTTGACTCTAGTCTGGTACTGTAAGGAGACATGAGAGGTGTAGCATAAGTGGGAGATGGCAACATCGCCGGTGAAATACCACTACTTTCATCGTTTCCTTACTTACTCGGACTTACTTAGAAAAAATGTTTTAGGCAAAAAGGTTACAGTATTAACTCTAGAACACCACACTGTGTAGCACATCTCTACCTATTGGGTGTAACCATATGTATACAAAGCGGCAGATGAGGCTCCGTAGCATGGGGAATCGTAGAGAGAGAACAAAAGTTTATTTACCTTATCACTTCGATTCCCTAACTTTCACTATATTGTAGAAACAGCGGGCATTTTTGAAACAAACATGGGTGTGTTATGCCCAGTGTTTCTAGGGTTACGTGATCTCTGTGTAATCGTATATTTACATTTTTTTAATGATATATTTTTGCAAAAGTAACATTGAAGAGTAGAAGTATGTAAAAAAATATAATAATCGTGTACATAGATTTAAAAAAAAAAAAAATATGATACTAAAAAAATATAAATACAGATTACAGAGATCACTTAATACTGTAACCTTTTTGTCTGAAATATTTTTTCATGTACCTCACGGTTTCAGAGATATTCACTCGTAAATATATATGGAATTTCTTTCAAGGGGTTAATTTTAACCCCTAATCATGTTTCAAAGCCGATAAAAAAAAACGTGACTGTTATTTTTCACTACTCTACAACATCTCCAAAGCCCATCAAAATCGAAGAGGGATAGTTTCAAACATTCCCTTGTTAGCCGGGTTAATAAACTGTACCAAATACTTCAGACATATCATTTTAATGTCTTTCGTTCAGTCCGTTACCGCCGTTACCGCGGGGAAGTGCCCTGGACGTAGAGAAATCGAACAAGACTAGTACATGATGGGTCGTAATAGAGAACTTCGAACAGCTCTAGTACTCAGGGGACTCATTTCACAAGATTATGTCCATGGAACTTTTTATATAATCTTCTTTTGATGCCCTACAATCCTAGCCATGTCTCAATGCTGTTCACCGGAGATCCAACTTTCATAAGAAACTGGGCATAGTCGACAGAAAGACATAAGATTTGATGTCAGTTCTAATATATCACATGATGTCGGCAGAACGCTAACAGAACCCCGATAGGAAAAGATTTATAACATTATAAGACGATCTGGATGAAATTGGGAATGCTGCAATTATGTCTTAATATTTGCAACAATACTAGTAGAAATTTAGATCTTTGTGCAAATATTGATAAATATTTGCACAATTTATTTCTAAATAGTACGAGGGTCGGTACAAAAGTAATGCCTTCTAATTTTTTCTCAGAAAATTTTATTCCTGGAACTTTGGTGTTTACATGAGTTCAATCTTACATCTTTATGGTGTACATTTTATTATTTTTCCACATAATAACCATTTCTTTCTATACACTTTTACCGTCTGTGAATAAGACGCAGTATACTCGTGCGGTAAAAGTCTTTGCTTTTATTCTTGAGGGCTCGATCAACACTTTTCTTTAGCTCATCGTCACTCATCTATAGAATTTGACCTGACAAAAATCTGAATGAGGTTTTTCTTCTTCATGAAAACGCGCAGCTTCACACCAGTCTGCGGATGAGGGAGGCAATTGGTAAACTGCATGCAATGGACTGTTCTTCCTCATCCTTCTCATAGTCCGGATATGGTGTCTCTTCGGCCTGTTAAAAGATACACTTTGTGGATACCAATTTTCAGATGAGGTAAAAAAAAGTATTGATCGAGCCCTGAAGAATAAAAGCAAACACTTTTACCGCACGAGTATACAGCGTCTTATTCATAAATGATAAAAGTGTATAGAAAGAGATGGTGATTATGTGGAAAAATAATAAATGTGCACCATAAAGATGTAAGATTAAACTCATGTAAACATCAAAGTTCTGGGAATAACATTTTCTGAGAAAAAAATTAGGAGGCATTTTTATACCGACCCTCGTATTTCAGCAAAACTGAATAGTAGCGTTATGAGGACTCATCTTAGCGGAATATTTGCAAAATTAAATTTGGAAAGAAATTGTGAAAATAATTGCGAGATAATTAAGAAATATATTTGAGTTTTGTTAGGTGTTGCTTCTGTATTACGTAGCATATTCTGTGTTTGCTGCCGATAGATGGCATCCTTTCTCGTACGTAAAATATGACGAATGGTGGTATATAGGATGTTCGGAAATTCAACCGACAAACTTTCAGAGATTGTCGGGGGCACTATAAGGATTATTTTTTGCAAATGGACCTGAGGTTGGAAACGCGTTGTTACAACGCTATGACGTCGGGAATGTCAGCGGCAAAAGGCTCTGAGCAAGATGAAATCAAAGACGATCTCGGTGTGTTGGCCAGAGTCCGTCGGTCCATGGTTCGGCGCTATCGTCTGTGCAAAAATCATGGGGGACGACCGACACTTCGAGCACCTGCTCTAAAGTCCATATCAGACTACGGATTTGAATTGAGATTGAGAATCAGAATAGAGAAAACTGATTTCAAGTTTAGTGAATTTTGCTCTGATTGATCAAATTTCAATCCAATCTCAATCCCAATCCGTAGTCTGATACGGGCTTAAGACACCCTCCTGCATGACATCGCTCATAAGCAGTAACGATGTAACGACACGTTTCCGACCCCATTTGCAAAAAATGATTCTTATAGTGTCCCCGACAATCTCTGAAAGTTTGTCGGTTGAATTTCCGAACACCCTGTATATGTAATTGTTATACAGGGTGATTGGAAACAATCTTATTATCCCGCAAATGTCAGATTCCTGACTCGATTTTGAGACGATTTTTTCTGTAGCAAAATTTTCGCCGAAGCTTAGGTATCGAGTTATAAAAGCAAATAGTTACTTTATTACGGGCCAGATACAAAAGGTAGACGGCGTGACTAACCGTCGCGAGCGCGGTTCACCGTCCACTGGATGTAATCCGTTCGTGCATTCGCTCACTTGTAGAGATAATGGCACGGTATATCGAGAATTTTTTGTCGCGTCGATGCAAAGTTGATCGGCTCGCGGAGGCGAACAATGAAGCGCCTGTTGCGATCAACTGTCGCGCCGCCCTTGTCTACCTCCTGTACTCGGCCTGTAATAAAGTAACTATTTGCTTTTATAACTCGAAAACTAAGCTTCGACGAAAATTTTGCTACAGGAAAAATCGTATCAGAATTAAGTCAGGAATCTGACATTTGCAAGACAATATGATTGTTTCGAATCATTCTGTATATTGATGTTTGCTGGATTGTGCTGGGGTGATTTTGTTTCTAAATATCGAAATAATTGTTCAAAATTGAAACCTAAAATTGAATTTTTCAATTTTTGTCCAAATATCATTCAGAAATTTTATGCCGGCAAGGACGCTGCATTATAAGAAATCA